AAATCAGACGCGCTTGTTTTCTCAGACGCTTGCAGAAAAAGGCTTACCAAAACAAAGTTACTGGGTTAATCTTTTTCACGTTTCCTTGGTTGGTAGATGCACCGGGGACCTGATTATAGCACTTAAAACCTGGAAAAGTCAGATTTTCATGATATGTCACCTTTAAAGGCTTTTCTTTAAAGCAAGCTGATATGAGAACACATGGTCACTGCTGCGTTTGTTAGAGATGTGACTGTACTTACGCCTGAATCCTGTGACGGTCTCGGGCAGGTCTCGGTGAGCACTCGGAGCAGGCCGTCAGGCTTGTACGAATAATGTTCTACCAGCTGTAACACACAACACAGTGCACATCAAAGCCCGCTTCTGGACATCATCTCAGCGTCACGCAGTATTGTGGTTACGCTTCTTACGCTGAGGCCTGTTTCATAGAATACTTTGCTTTTCACGAACGGTCGATAAACTCTCATCAGTGTACTGTCACGTAAAGCTTCAGCTGAAAAGAATATATATACAGCACACAATATATGAACAGATAGCTTTATATAGGAGGCTTTGTTTATATAACTTAAAGAAGCACGACTTCTTTACATTCTCCAGATGAGCACACCTTTGAAAAGCTACACGGTACACGAAATCAAACTATTTCTATATCAACATACACTTTCATTGCACACTCACCTCATTCGAACCATGCACTTCTCTCCTAATCACAGTGTGAGTGAGAGATGTTTCTGAGGGCTAGTTAATGGCCTAGCTGTAGCATTCACCTTGCTGAACCTTTGATGCCGTGCATCATGCGCAGCCACTCAACCAGGAAATCTAAATATAACGTGGCGTTTGTCCTGCTGGTCACCAAAACAACTGTCTAACTCTACAAGATCCTCTTTAGGACATCAGCAAATACGATAAGCCTAAAATAACAATGCATCACTTTTTGCTAATTATCAGATTTTCTACATTTACAGTACTTTTCAAAAGTTTGGAAGTCTTCAGTGTCCTTCAGAAATCATAAATATTACTGTTTTTGCTGTATATTTGAGCACAGCCTTGGTGAGCAGAAGAGACTGGCCACACTTTATTTTAAAAGTGTGAAAAAGTGACGTGATATGTGGCCAAGTATGGTGACCCATACTTGGAATTAGTGCTCTGCATTTATTCCATCCAAAGTGCACACACACAGCAGTGAACACACACACACCGTGAACACACACCCGGAGCAGTGGGCAGCCATTTTTTGCTGCGGCGCCCGGGGAGCAGTTGGGGGTTCGGTGCCTTGCTCAAGGGCACCTCAGTCGTGGTACTGAAGGTGGGAGAGAGCGCTGTACATTCACTCCCCCCACCTACAATCCCTGCCGGTACGAGACTCGAACCCGCAACCTTTGGGTTACGAGTCCGACTCTCTAACCATTAGGCCACGACATCCCCAAAGTCGTGGAGGTTTTAAGGTCCAATTCTCATTAGTAACAAACCATTAACTACAACTTTTGCCTCAATAAACTCCTAATTTGCTGCTTATTAGTTGTTAAGTTTAGGTATTGGGTAGGATTGGGGATGTAGAATATGCTCATGCAGAATATGTGCTTTATAAGCACTTATAACAGTGTTAATAACAGGCATGCTAATAAGCAACTCGTTAATAGTGAGAATTGGTCCTTATACTAAATTGTTACCAGCCTTATTCTATTCGAATTCTACTTCTGTATAGACTAGCTTTAGCAAATTCGCTACGTTGTATATACAGAATTTCTATTCATTTAATATTCCTAAATGTGATTATAGTTACTTAGTTGGAAAGTAATGCGTTACGTTACTTTTGCGTTACTTTTTAAATCTGGACAGGGCTTGCTTGGCTTGCTTGAAAATAAAAAAGTTTTTGGCAAATATAAAAGCCTTTTCACACCAAAAGTGAAATGAATAAGCCTCAGACTGAAGGGAAAGTAAATGTACGTCCGTACAGTAGAATGCAGAAGAAGAAATTTCAACACACTTCAGCAATAAAAAAAGGTTAAGAGAATGGCATTATATACATAAAGGATATTTGTGTTTAACATTTAATTATTGCAGGTTTGCGTCATATTCTGAGTTGCATTATTTTTATTCATTTTGAGGAATACTGAATCTGTGTTTTTTTT